AACCGTTAGATGGAAAGTTCATATCTCTTAGATCATATATGTCAAAATTTGTTAAAATTGAACAACAACTTGAAGGTAATCAAAGTGTTCATATTTTAGTATAATTTGAAATGTATATATTACGTCAATTTTGTTTTATGAGAATGAAATATCAAATCATCTTAGATTAATATAAAATTTGATATATATGATCTAAGAGATATGAACTTTCAATCTAACGGCTGAATTTTCAAAATTCATATTTAATATAAAGTTATTGAGCGGTGTAACACTTAGTAAAAGTTACATGGTATCGTTTGAACTCTCCTATATATATATATATATATATATAATATTATAATTTCAAGTTTGAAGAGATTATTTTTTATCATACCATAATTTTTTATTGTTATTGATGATATTTCAAAATATATTTTTGTTGATGTTATGTAATTCATAATTTGGGATATATTACTAAGTTTATGTGAATCGTAGTTTGCGGTAGGAATTAGAGATTATTTGTCATTTTTATCCTTAATATTACTTCCAAAATTTTTTTGTAAGAAACAAGTTATAACGTAAATACATTATAACTTGTTTCTTATAAAAATGATCGGATGTAATACTTGTTAAATATAATTCATATGTACTTTTGTTACACTAACCAAATCTTATATTAAAGTGCATGTAAATATTATTATAATTATAATACTTGAGCTTATGTTTCAAGTTAGTAAAACTTCCAAATGATTGCATACTAATATTATGGATTTTATCTCATTCGTGATTGTAAAGAAAATGTTACCTTATTTATGTGATTTTTTTAGGAGATTTTATATTTATACATGTAATGAAAGAAGATTTTGTGTTAAAAATGTTAAATGAATACTTATATTTATTCTTGTTCTTAATTTTGTACATATATCATGTGGCTAGGTATAAAACTCATTTATCTAAAACTCCCAATTTGATAGATAGACAATATATTAGGTTTTATATTTTAATTTGTAATTACTTATAATCTTACAATAGTTTATTTCTTTCTTATACATAATTCATTAAGAGAAAGATAATAAGATTTATATTAACATTGAATATTATTTTATAGCTCTATGGATTTTAATGAGATTTGATATATGAATGATTAATGAGAGTGTTATTTTTGTTATGTCGTGAGACTAATCAAGTTGATATTCTCATATATTCTTGTATGCATTTTATAATCATAAGACATACTCTAAAAAGACTTTGTTATTGGTCTTGTCCAATTATATGAAGATACATAATGTTGTATCTCAATAGGCATCTTAAGCGAATGTTAACGTTTTTGTTAGGATTTGCACAATTATTATTTTGGCATCTATTTATGTTTTGCATCTATTTTTCCTAAAATTCACATTTTGTTTGGTCTAAATTTATAAGTATATTGTAGATACAATATTCATATTGAGTACAATTTTGCACTATTGAAATATTTATAAATTTTATATTTGGACTAATGATATTAAGTACCGACTCATTATTAACATGTCATTGCTACATTAATCTTGAGTATTATCTTTATTTGAATTTGATGTCTATGTCATCCATGTAGGAAGTGTATGAATTTCCTAATTGTTTTTGGATTTAAGGTTTAGGGTTTAAGATTTGCATAATCATTTATTTTATGAAACTCAAATTACCTAATTGTCAGCTATTATAAAGCACAAACTATCCACAAAAGGGCCAAGCTTCAAAGACATAAGTATGAAATGTAGGATGACCTCACGATTAAGGTTGCAAATCATCACAAATGTCTCAAAAAAGTGTTCCATGAACTTTTGAAGTGGTTCCTCGTCTGCTTATTTGAGATTGGCTAAAGTGGCCGAGAGATGATACGATGAGGGCGACCAGTGGCATAATGACGCTTGATATTAAGGTTTTGGACTAACTAGATGTATCATTAAAGAGTTGCTCCTTTGAGTGAGGTTAAAAAAATTCTATACAAGATGACATCATTGTTAGTGTAGAGGTTTCAATTGGGTCATTTAAGATGCTCATCAAAATAGAACAATTCATTGAATCTTTCTAAAGTGAGAAGTTTCCATCCGAGAGGGAAGGGAACCTCCATGATACCATCCACAGATGAATGATTTCTTACAAAGGGATTATCATTAGGTTGTCCCTATGTAGTCATCTAAGAACAAGTTTATGTGTTTCCTTGCTCAAATTGGTTAGTTTGAGTTTCATCATGGGTGTGGGTGTGGTGGTTTAATGGTGAAGGCGATGATTGAGGAGGTGGATTGATAGATGGAGACATTGAGAGGGATCCAATTCAGCCCAAATTGTTATATTCTTGTCACATAGGGCACTTAATTTGGCCTTGTGCTAATGATGATCAGCCTCGTGCTGGTGGTGCATGACTTCCAAGACATCAATTGGTAGCTTTACCATGGCATACATGTTGGGGTTGTTTGGGTTTGTTATCTTGTTAATACAATGTCTACTTTCCTAAATCCTAAATGTTGTTAATACCATATCTGTTTGACCTCACAGTGGTCCCAAATGTACTTACAAGAATCTGTAAATACTAAGTACAGTTGAGTCAACCTTCTCCTTTCCTAGCTTCTCATCAGCTCTGACGGTGAAAAAAGGCTCTAACACTTGAGTAATAAGTGGTCTCATAAGTTAATAATGAATTTAGGAAAAAGTGTACATGTATCTCCTTTATATAGTGTAAAAGTTATCTTTTTTCATATAGATTATCAATTCAACGTAAAGAACACAATAAATAAGAGATAAAATTAGTTAAACAGGTAATTGTCAAGTAATGCGAAGATAAGGGGGTCTGACCAAGATTTTCACCAACTTTGTATTTCTAAAATCATGCTTGGTAACTGCAGAAACACGTATACTTCCACCATACTAGTCCACTATTCTGAGGTAATACACTAATGATATAAAATAAAGCACTTTCAAAGGGAAAATGAATACGTTGATATTAGAGAAAATTTATGAAATGTCCAAATATAACGTTCCATGTATAATGAAAGCACTCACGCTCTTTATTAAAAAATTTGTCAAAAGCTTACTTTTTATATATTTTTTGCCAATTAAAGATTAATCTTTCAATAGTTGTCGTCGTCGAAGTGCAATT